TGAAGCTAAGATTTATTGAACCCGTGGGGGACTACATTGACTTGCTTGATAGAACTATGCCATCAATGATGGAAATCTGGGGGCATTGCCTAGTTGGGTACTTTGCGGGTAGGTACCCCGGTTTCTAAGCAATACAAGACCTTGTATCTAAGTGGGGTGTTCCTTGTAAAGTGAGAACCCATGATAGAGGGTGGGTGATCTTTCAATTCCTAGGGGAAGAGGACAGATCCAAGGTTCTCATGGAGGGACCATATGCTTTATTTGGAAAATCACTCTATCTCAAAACACTCTCGGAAAACTTCTCCTTTGAAAGTGAGGAATTTTTGAAAGTTCCAATTTGGGTGAAATTTCCTAATCTTCCAATGCAAATATGGAATGAGGACGTGATAAGTGAGATAGCTTCAAGAGTGGGCATGCCACTAACCACGGATAGAGTTACACAAGAAAGAGCTATATCTAAATATGCAAGAGTCCTTATTGAGGTGGATGCTTCCAAACCACCACCTCTTACTTTAAAAGGAGATTGCCGAATGGAAGGTTTCACTTCCAAAAGGTCATTTATGAGACATTTACAAATTTTTACTTCCATTGCTAGGCCTATGGACACCATGCATTTACTTGCAAAGTCATTGCCGAAATGGAGAAGAAGGAAAGGGAAGAGAAGAAAAGGCAAGAGCAAGGGAAAGAATACCAAACCAAGGATGACAACGGCAAGGGCAAGGCCCCCATGGAGGAGGCCGCGGCATTACAACGAGGGGCATCCATATGTGACCACAATGCCGCAGACTTTTAGGGGGAGACATCAAAAGGCAACGGTAAGGGCATCAATGTCGCGGCATTGAACAAAACATATGTCCCAAGAGAAGAACACCCTTTCCTAAAGGCAGCCCGTTTAAAGAAGAAGAAGAGGAAGCCTAAAAAGAAACAACAACCTAAGGAGGATGGGGAAGTGTCTTCGGGCTATGAAACTTTGAAGGAACAAGATGAAGAGGAGGAACAACCAAGAAGAATCCAAAGTTTTAACTTTTAAGGACTTTTTTGATGATGAAGTCATCATAGAAATGGAAGCGGGTGAATTTGGGGAGCCTAGCATTAAAGTGGCACACTTGGATGATGTTACCGAGCCTACAATCAGATTAAACCATCTTCTTAAAGTGGTAGATGGCACTAAACCAGGTGTATACTTCACCAAAAAATGCTTGGAACAACTCCCGGGAGTGAGAAGAAAGAAGAAGGATTATGTTTACACATCACTTTTCATGTGAAGTGTGTATAGGCACTATCTTTACAGGTACTTTGAGGATGGCCACCTAATGGGCAATGGAAGTAAAGTGAAAGATTTAAGGAAGTTCAGAAGGAAAACAGTCCGGGTGGTAAGAGATATAAAGGAGGCATATTTGGATGATGTCATTACGAAGATCGAGTTTCAAGAGGGGGAAAAGCCAAAGATCCACTTGATGCATTGTGATGATGTCGTCGAAGTGAAGATGACTAGGTTGGACAACTACTTGGATGAAGAGGAGAGCCTAGCACGTAAAGAGATAACCTTCACCATTGAATGTCTAAAGGCTCTTCCCGGAGCATCACTTAGGGACCAAGGGTATGAATTCTCCTCTACTTTTATTACTAATGTTTATTACTTGTTCCTTGCTAGGTATAGGGGCTGTGAGGAGTATAGAGAATGGAAGAGAAGGCAATGGGAAGTGACTAGGAAGAACAAGAGGAAGGGGAGGAAAAACTAGCTTGTTTTTATGATAGTTACATCATGGAATGTAAGGGGGCTGAATCAAGCCTCAAAACAAAATCATATACTAAACTTTATAAGGGTTAATAAGGTACGTATTATTTGTCTTCTTGAAACCAAAATGTCTTTAACTAGTTTTGCTAATTTTATGGATTTTAGATTGCCAAATTGGATGTATGTGACAAATTTTGACAAAATTGGTGGTGGCCGAATAGCTATTTTGTGGGATCCTTGTTATGTTGATGATGATATTTTGGAAATTGATACCCAACATGTGCATGCTAGATTTAGGTGTAAAACTACGCAAGTGTATTTTTATACCTCTTTTGTGTATGCTTTGTATACGGTAATAGAGCGAAGAGTTCTTTGGGATCACTTGACTAGACTTAGTACAAATACTTTTAGACCTTGGGCTGTCTTAGGGGGTTTTAATTGTGTTTATGCCCCTCATGAAAGGAAAGGTTCTGCCCATCCCACGGGCTACTTGATGAAGGATCTAAATGAGATGAAAATCCAAACTTATCTAGATGATGCCCCTTTTACGGGTGAATTTTTCACTTGGAATAGAGGTGCCATTTGGCTAAGTTGGATAGGATTCTTATTAACCCTTTTTGGAGTGCTCAAGGGATAACTTGTAGGGCTCACTTCTTTGAAATGGAATGTGAGTTTGACCATGTGGCTGCCCTACTAAGTATTGGCAATACTATCAAAAATGGGTCTAAACCTTTTAAGTTTTTAAACATGTGGATGAAACATGACAGTTTTCTTGGAATTTTAGAGGATGTTTGGAATAGGAATGTTGGGGGGCGGCTCAATTTCGTTTAGCCCGTAAACTCAAGTTCCTAAAACAGCCCCTAAAACAACTAAATTTTAATGAATTTAGCCATATCTCGGCAAGAGCAAAGGAATCTAAAAAGAGTATCAAAGAGTTTATCAATTAGCTCTTTTAGACCCTCTAGATGATGCTCTTAAAGAGGATTTGAATGTTGCTAAGAAAAGAGCTTTATTTCTAAAAGAGGCCGAGGAAGCCTATCTTAAACAAAAGGCCAAGGCTATTCATATTTTGCAATCGGATAGATGTACGAAGTATTTCCACTCAATTGTTAAAAAGAGGCAAGCCAAAAATTCAATTGCTTCCATTCGGTTACATGATGGGTCTCTCACCCAATCCATGGACCAGGTTGCAAATGAGTTTATTGGGTTTTTCAAAGGTCTGTTTGGTACTCGTGTGCCTTCTTCTGATTTTGATCCTAATATTATGGCTTCGGGGAGCATTATAGACCAATCTTTTGTTGATAACCTGATTAGACCTGTGTCTGATTTGGAGATCAAAGAAGCTTTATTTGATATTGGGAATGAAAAAGCCCATGGACCAGATGGATACTCATCAACTTTCTTCAAATCTAATTGGGGGAAGGTGGGTGAGAATGTGTGTGCGGCCGTGAGGAAGTTTTTTGAGTCTGGAAATATGCCCAAACAGGTTAACCACACCATTGTAGTTCTTATTCCTAAGACTTCTCATTCTCCTTCGGTCTCTGATTTTAGACCCATTTCATGTACCAATGTGACTTATAAGATCATCACTAAGATTTTAGCATCAAGACTTGGACCATGCCTTTCTAGTGTAGTTGATCCATCATAAGGTGCTTTTGTTGATGGAAGACAAATGACTGATAACATTTTCCTGGCACAAGAATTGGTGAGGGGATACACTAGAAATAAGGTCTCTCCTAGGTGCATGATCAAGGTTGATATTAGGAAATCATATGATACTATTTCTTGGAGTTTTCTTGAAAATGTCTTAAGGGGCATTGGGCTGCCCAACACTTTTGTAAATTGGATAATGGAATGTGTCACTACCTCTTCTTTTTCAATATCTATAAATGGCAGCTTACATGGGTGGTTTGAAGGAAAGAGAGGTTTGAGACAACGGGACCCCATGTCTCCTATGTTGTTTGTTTTATGTTTGGAATACTTATCCCGGATGTTAGCTATTAGGACCTCAAATCCTAGTTTTAACTATCATCCCTTATGTTCCAAACTAAAAATCTCACATTTGGCTTATGCCGATGACTTAATGCTATTTTCCAAAGGGGAACCCAAGTCTATTAAGATTTTAGTTGATGCTTTAAATGAGTTTGGGAGGGTCTCGGGTCTTTTGGTTAATCAAGACAAATCTAACATTTTTGTGGGGGGAAATATTGCACAAAAACTGCCATTTATTTTGTAAATGGTTGATTTTCAACAAGGATCCTTCCCGGTAAGGTATCTTGGTATTCCATTGGCTCCTTTAAAGATATCTGTTGCCCAGTTCTCTCCCTTGATTGATACGGTTACAGACTATTTTAGTGCATGGAATACTAAATCCTTATCATATGCGAGTAAGGTTGAGTTGATTAAGTCAATTGTCCAAGTGGTTCAGTCCTTTTGGTTGGGCATATTTCCGATCCCCAAAACAATTTTGGACAGAATAGTTAGTCTTTGTAGAATCTTTCTTTGGGGGGGGGGGGGGGGCAAACATGCTAAAGTGGCTTGGGAAGATGTATGTCTACCTAAAGAGGAAGGGGGGTTAGGAATTAGAGATACAAAGGTTTGGAACAATGCATTATTGTCTCGAACATTATGGAATATTCACGCCAAACGGGACACACTTTGGGTGAGATGGGTGAATGGGGTCTATCTTCATGGGAGACATGTGTGGACCTTTGTTCCACACAATAGGGACTCACAATTGATGAAAAGAATTGCATTGATCAGAGACTCTTTTATCTCAAGATATTCTTCTATACCCGAGACTATTACCAATATAGGAAAGATGGCCCACAATGGTAAGCTCTCCTCTTCTAAGGTATATGACCTTCTTAGGTTGAAAGGGACTGCTCATGCATGGATGTCTTTTATTTGGAAGGCTTATATCCCTCCCAAATTTTCGTTCATAATGTGGCTAGCCTACCGTAATAGACTACCTACATATGATAACATAGTTTACGTTGATATTGTTCATGTCTGTCCTTTTTGTAAGGGTGGTCCGGAGACGGTACCACACCTATTTTTTGAATGCGTTTGTACACGGCAGGTTTGGGAAAGGATCAAACAATGGCTTGGGATCTCTAGACAAATGTCATCTTTGAGGAGTGCGGTGAAATGGATCCAAAGAGATTGCAAAGGAGCACATATTAGGGCAAAGGCTACGAGGATAGCGTTTAGCTACACAATCTATTGGATATGGAGGACTAGAAATGTAATTCGTTTTGATGGAGCAACACTAAAGACGGATGATACAATTGCACATATCAAGTATATGGTGTACAAAGTGCTCTATTCATTATATCTGTATCATATGATCCCTTTTTGAAACATAAACTAGCCTTTGATGGACTCGTACAAACTAGCTTTTTTTTGGATAAAATGTAAGTATATATATCCAGAAAATAGCATAGTACAATGCATCACGATTACAAGCAAGGTGCATATCCCAGATCACGGGATACCACAAATTCAAGGCATACATTCTCACAAAACACACATCATGAACCCGAAACAGTATAGGGAACAAGACAAAAACAACCCACAAACCCAGCTACGAAAAAAGAAGGTATCACTAAAACTAATCAGCCAAAGAACAGTCGGAAAGGAGTCGTAAACTTTGAATCAAAACAAATCTCCCCTTTCTTCTTTGTAACTCCCGGGAGCCTCTCAAGACACTTGGCGGTGAAGATTAGGCCCTTTTTGTCTAAGTCATCCGTAAGGTGAAGAGAGGTATCGACTCTAATCACATTAGTATGAACAAATTTAAAAGCTTTAACAAACAGCCGGAATTTCTTACCATTGACCACCTCACATTTAATTACTACATCGTTTTGATGCAAGTCAGTCTCCCTCGTTAATACCCTTTCATTTTCTTCTAAAAATACCTCGTCGTCTTCATCTTCGGAAGATTCATGGTGAGTTTGCACACCTAAGAGTTGGCCTATTGTCTTTCTTTCCTTCGCAGGAGGCAGTTCACTCTGTTGGGCAGCCTGCCCTTGTAAACCGGTCGGGTTCAGGCTTGACCCGGTCGGGTTTGAGCCTTTGGCAGTAGAATCTGCCTGTGACCCAGTCGGGTTAAGGGCCAACCCGGTCGGGTTTGTCTCCACAGCTTCTGGACGCTCAATAACAGGTGCAAGTCCAGCAGTTTTATCACCTAAAACATCACTTTTACCCTTTTCCTTGTTTGCCCCAACCTCACATAACTTCTTACAAATAAATGGGTGGTGCCCATATTCTTTGCAATGAAAACAATAACTAGGAAAAGTTTCATAAACAACACTTTGTTTGAATACCTTTTGGGAAGGTAACCGAATAGGAAACGAGAGTGGCGGCGGCTTCGAGATGTCAACCTCTATCAACACCCTAGCATAGTCGTTGTTGATCCTCTCTTTGGTGATTTTATCCGTAGCTATTGGGACCCCAATCATGGAAGCTACCTCGCTCATGGCCTCCTCATTCCATAGTTGCATAGGTAAGTCGTGAAACTTAACCCAAATAGGCACTTTTAAAAATTCTTCATCCTCAAACGAAAAATTTTCCGAGAGTTCCTTGAGCATGAGTAGTTTCCCAAACACGGTGTATGGCCCTCCAAGTAGAACCTTTGATCTATCCTCTCCACTTTGAAAATTGAATATCAACCAACCCTTTTTGTGGGACCTCACAAGGCACTTGACTCCCCATTTTGCTTTAATGTCATGGACTGCTTTGAGCCCGGGGAAATTTCCGGCGAAGTGTCCAACTAAGCAAAAGCCCCACATTTCAACCATAGTTGGTAAAATTCGGTCTTCAAAATCCAATGTCTCACCCACAGGAGGGATATACCTTAGCTTAAACCCATGGCTCGGATCACGATTATCTTTAAACAACGCCTTCCACTGTAAAGCTTCAGGTTCTGCCCTTGGTGTAACCTGCGCAGGAGTTACTGCATTATGCTGCACAGGAGTATTAATCACAGGTTTCACACTAGCTGCTGCAGTAATAGCTTTAGGTACAGCAGGTATTTCCTTATCATTTCCAATAGGTATGGAGCCCAATTCAGTTTTCTTCCCCTGCTTCCCAGAATTCATCAGCGGAATCCAAGGTTTTGGAGCAACCTGTAGTTCAGCAGCAGCAGGAGATTTCAAGGGGCTCTGCTCTGGTTTCTGTTTAGAAGCAGATATCCCAGCGCCACTTGTAGCAGTTGTTGACAAATTCCCAGGAGACAGGACAATTTCCTTCCCAGGCAAAGTAGCAGCTCCCAGCGCAGGTTTACCTGCAATGTTCCCAGCAGTGGCCTGAATACTTTCCTCATGAGATTTTTCAGGTGAAAGAGCTGGAAATTCGTTCTCCAGCAGCGTGAACCTGGACCTGGTCACTCTTGCCTCAGAAACCTCTCCCTGGCCCTGTTTCTTCCTCGCCATCCGCGAACAGCACAGAAAAGGCGTACAAACAGCTTCAGACACGAGAAAAGGGTCAGTAATGTTCGCCCAGAGATGGGGGATACCAAAATAGTTCCGTAATCCAGAGAAAAACAACAAAAAGCAAGTATTCACCCCTAAATCGAAACGATGAACAGTAAAATCGTGGCAGTAGTGCCAGCTTCTAAGCGCAAATTAACCGGGCAAGCTCAATTCCAAGGACTGAAAGAGGTAGGGAACAAGGTTCCGACTTCAAACAGCATCAAACCACAGGTGCAAAACATCAACAAAGCAAAAATCGAAGCTTGGAAGCCATGAATCAGCGGAAAAAGGAGCTAGGTCGCAGGACCTAGGAGAGAGACTCTCTCAACCTTTTTACAAACTAGTCTTTTGTCATGAGGTGATGGCGGTTTTTGCTAGATGATGGACTTTAGATGTTAAGCTTAGATAGCTTTTGATGTTATAGGGTATCCATGCTTGGATATGCCTCAAATTTTGCTCAATTCGATGTACATATACTCCGGTTACTATCTATATATTTACATTTTCCCAAAAAAAAATGTTGCCACGTGTCAAGAATTCTTCCAAAGGGTTCTCCAAGGGTTTACTTTATTATATTACTAGTATGTGCACCCGTGCGACGCACAGAATTAGTTTTAATTAAGTTTTTCCAAAAAAAGTAAAAGCAAAATTTAAAGAAAATGAAAGGGAAAATACACTAAATGGATAAACGTCTCAGTCTCATGCCAAATATTTCAATTTGTGTTACGATGATATATGTTATACGTTAAATTGAAAATACAACAATGAATACTTATTCAAATATTATTAAATAAAATAATAGTTAAAAAGTGTTAGTTGACTGTTGTATGGTAGGTTTGAAATGAGATTGATTATCATTTTACATTTTCATCTGTCACATTAAGTTTGTATGAAACAGGCTAGCCCTATGAACTTTGACTGATTTTGAAAGATGTATCTATAGTGGATTGGCACATGCATGTTGTTAGTTGTCCAAAATACAAATATATATTTTTGAATTTCATTGCCTTCAATATTGATTCTTTACCGCTGGTTGAGGTTAAGTTCTCACAATTCAAAAGTCCAAAACAGTCCTTTGGACTTCCATGGAATCTTTTACCGATTATTGCGCTTGGTGTATTAATTAAGGAAATATGAAGGCAAAGGCAATAGCAAGAAAGGATGAGAGGTAAAATGGGTCAAGTTCTATTACGGATCTACCGATCCCGAATCCTGAGACCCTGTTCCACACTAAATTATTACAGATGTACATGGATGATATGTTGAGCCCTCAACGGATAATCCCCAATCATAAAATCCCCCACATCTAGTGCACTATATGCGCTTCCTGTCAATTCTAGCCTTCCCGCTGACTATTTTGTAGAGCTTTCTATACAACCGGCACTATCTTAGAAAACATCAAGTATTAGAATGTCACAACCAACATAATTTTTTATGTTATAGTTGAAAATAGTTTTTTACGTAGTATTAATTTAATAATCATTGTTCACAAATATTTACTAAAAAAATCTAATTGTAACTTTATTTTTGTAGAATAAGTGCTTTTAATTTTCTAGATACCATTTAATAGTTATCAAATTTTAATATAACACCGATTTGATAATACTTTTAATTAAACTTGTCAAGTATTTTTAATTAAAAACAACGTACACATGAGAATAGAGGAGACTATATATATGCATTATATTATAATATAGTATTGGAATACATAAGAGTGGAGTTTTAGAAGTTAGATAATTTTCATTTTTGATGTTGTGACATGTCATTTTTTCTACAAAGATGTTGCCACATATCAATAATTTATCCAAAGAGTTCTTCAAGGGTTGGCAAAAAGGGATGAGAGATAAAATACGGGTCAAGTTCTATTACGAAAGAGCTACAGAAAAGTCTAAACTATAGTACGCAAGTTTGCAACTCTTTATAATGAAATAATTTCGAGTATTTGTACTACAATGTAATAGGTGTACATGATAATGTGTTGAGCCCTCAGCGTATAATCCCCAACCATAAAATCCCCCACATCTAGTGACTAAATGCGCTTCTTGCCAATTCTAGTCTTCCCGCCGACAGCTTTGTGGAGCTCTCCCACATACAACCAACATCATCTGAGAAAACATCAAGTATCAGAATATTATCGACATACATGCGGATCTCGTGCGGAAATTAGACCCGTGTGCCAGTTGCGCCGCCTAAAGGGTAATTGGGCTTGGAGCCAATACCCCAACACTACCAAAATTATTTTCAGAAACATTTATTACTACGTATTTTACAACCTTTTTTGAACTATTATTTCTATAATAATTATTCAAATAAGTTACTCCATCATAGTTTTATGTTATAGCTTAAAGTAATTTTATACTACCTCCGTTCCTATTAAAACTTCCAAATAGGTTTGGCACAGAGTTTAAGATAGTGGGTATTGTGTGGTGGAGAGTTGTGCAGAGGAGAGAGAAATGTGTAAGAAATGTTGTGAACCACAAATTCTATACTAAAAAGGGAAAGTGGAAGTTTTAATTGGAACGGACGAAAAAGGAAAGTTGGAAGTTTATTTAGGAACGGAGGGAGTAATAATTAATAATCATTGTTCACATATATTGAGTCAAAAGATCTAATTGTATCTTTATTTTTGTACGATAAGTGATTTTGGTAGATACCATCTAATAGTTTCAAATTTAATATAACAATGATTTAATAATAGTTTTAATTAAACTTTTCAAGTATTTTTAATTAAAACAACACATGACAATAGAGGAGACATTATATAAATTAGTATATAACATAATATAATATTGGAATACATTAGAGGGGAGTTTTGGAAGTTGGATAGTGTTTCATTTATGGTGTTGCCACATGTCATCTTTTTCTACAAAGATGTTGTCACATGCCAACAATTCCTCTAAATTTCTCTTTAGAGGTTTGCTTTATTATATATATATATATATATATATATATATATATATATATATATATATATATATATATATATAATAGGGATCATGTGAGAATAAGATCTAGGGAGAGAAATAAGAATGATTCTAAGCCATTGGATTGCAATATTAAACAAATTATTTATTTATTTCGTATAAGGCTAAACATGTCATTTCAAAACTATTTCCATTCTCCGTAGTATCCTAAATTAACCACTTTCCTTACTTTTAGCATATCATGATTTTCTCTCCTTCCTTGTATCTCCTTAGCCGTTTCCATTCCCCACGATTTTTGTTCTTCGACATTTTCTTTTTCTCCATCATGTTCCTTTTCTTTTTCACCATTACAAAAGCCAAAACACTTTCATTTCTTCACCATTCTTTCACCACGTCTTTTATTAGATTTCAGACAAGAAAAATCTTAGTCCAATATCATCTCTTCTCTATGGATTATAGTTAGACGACGGACGTGCTTATGTTTCTGAATTGAACTACTTCTGTCATTTATATATTTGTTTATTTCTAATTTGTTATAAGCCAACCATCAAAAGCTATCATTCATTCACATGTAGCCACATATATATACAAGGGAGGGGGAGCTAGGGTTACAATCATGATATGGGCCATTGCATATGGGCCTATGATTAATGGACATCTACTTAATTACATAACACTCCCCCTTAGATGTACATTACTAAATAAAAACATTACAAAAATGATTATTCTCTTTGTACGTTTGAAAATGCTGCCTCGTTAAAAACCTTGCCGAGGAAAACCCAGTGGGACAAAACCCTGGTCAAGGGAAAAACAGTGCAGCGTGTATGTACTCCCCCTATTGACTGCATCACTTGAAGACTTCTTGTAGAATCCAATCTATTCTGGTCACAGACTTCTTGTAGCACAAATTGTACTATGTGTATGCCTCATTAAAAACCTTGTTGGAAAAACCCTTTGGAAAAAACCAATCAAGGAAAAAGAGTGCATAATATATATATAAAATGATGTGTTGTATTGACTGCCTCATTAAAAACCTTTAACTAAGAAAACCACGTGGGAAAAACTTAGTAAAGGAAAAGAGTGCAGTCATTTGCCTTCAGGGCCTAATCTTCTGGATCACTTTTAAATTCACTTTTCTGGAGAATAATAATATTCCAAGATCATAATATGTTGTTTGAGAATCACAAACTGCCTCGTTAAAACCTTTGACCAAGAAAACCCTGTGGGAAAAAACTTGGTTAAAGAAAAAGAGTACAATTGCATTTGGTCTTCCGGACCAATAAATTGCTTGAACTCAAAAGAACCGATTAAGACTTTCAAGGTACCATCTTTCGAACTAATATTAGAATCACTCTTCTAGACAGTGGAGGAGCTAGGGGGGGCAAGGGGGGGGGGGGGGGGCAAGCGCCCCCGCTCCGACTAATTTTTTTTACTAGTATTACTTATAATATGTTTCTTTCCCCGGCTTCTTTTTTAATTTTAAAAACAATAAGTACAACTTAAGGTTATTTTAAGATGAAGTGTTAAAATAAATAAAAAAGTATTTTCCGAAAAAGTAAAAAAAATGAAATATAGAATAAAAGGGGATTAATGTATGTAATACATTTGGCATCCCAATTTGCCAATAATCCGGAGTAGCTCAGTGGAGACAGGTAACACGCTCCCTTCGTATCACCCGTGTTCGAATCCCCCCCAGGACGGATTCAGTTAAACTTGTTTTGCTTTTCTTCCGCCCCAATTCTTCCAATTTTATTTTCTTCAGCCTACAACTCGTCCCACACCGGATGAAATAGAGGATTCACTCCTCATTTGAACCTATATAATCGCTCCTCCATAGTTGATAAAGATTAAGTTGCTAGTAAAGCTTGAGTGCAAGTATTAGCTACAATATAAACAAATATTGAATACACATTCGGTTTTTGTGAAAAAACCGAATAACCGGACCGAAAATTCGGTGTCCGGAAAATTGGGTCCCAACTTAGATCGGTTCGGTTTCGGGTTATAGAATATACGAAACCGAAAGATCGGTTCGGTTCGGATCTTTCCTATTTCGGTTCGGTTCCTGAACCGAATCCAGCCCTAGTTCTCACTTCTCCCCATTTGTTCTCAGATTCAGCTGTTGAGCAAATGGAGCTTAAAGAACAACTCCAAGTTTGGATATATGAGATGAGAGGAAATGAAGCATTTTCCACTTTACAAAGTATTGGTCTATCGTCTTATTGAGTTGGCTCTAGTGTTACCAGTTGCAACAGCCACAGTTGAAAGAGCTTTCTCATCGATGAATATTATCAAGACAGATCTTCGCAATAAGATGGGAGATGACTATCTTACGGATTGCTTAGTATGCTACATCGAAAGAGACATTTTTCAAGCAATTGATAATGAAGCTATTATGCAGCATTTTCAAAATATGAAAACTCGTAGGATTGATTTGCCTAGGTTGCAGAAGTAAATCA